CGCCGTAAAGAAGGACAGATGTCACGTAACAGCTCAGTATTCTTTTCTTTGTTACCAAAGAAGTGAAGTATTAAGAAACAGTTAAAATGTCGCCAGAAAACAAGGAAAAGAGTACTGAATTGTTACGTAATATCTGTCCTCCTATATGAGTGTGAATGCTGGGAGGCAAGGCCTTACAAGGCGTGAAAGAGAAGACTTTAGTATGGAGAAGTGAGGAGAAAGGAACAGTGTTCGGGAAGACAGAAGATGGCGATTGGCGCTGCATTTAAATTTTTGGAGATTTTAATTAATAGAAGGTAGTTCCATGTGCAAGAAATGCGAGAAAAGAAGGTATTAGAACATTAAATCTAGCTATTGATGCAATTGAGGTACCAACGAGGAAAGCTTATCAGAAAATTTGCCATGAAATTATTTGTAGAAAAAACTGAGGGAAGTCACATCACATCGGTAAGAAAGTGACTGAAATCGAGATACTAGGTCAGGATCGATTACATTACAGACACTTCTTGGAATTTTGTCAAGAATCTCGCGATGTATAGTAGAAGCACTAGGCCATATATGAAAGCAGTATTCAATACACAGGAAGATGGTAGATTTGTAAATGTGGAAGATGGATTCTGTCGTGAAAATTTTTTTCTGTTACGACACAGTGAACCAAATTTCATAGCAGTCGATCTAGCTATTGATTCAATATAATTGTCCCACTTCATATCAGTGGAAAACGTGACCCCAAGAAGGCGCAAAAAGTTGATCTCCTGAAGGTTAGCATCAGCCATGTTGATGGCAGGCAAAAAAAGTTCTCTAGAGTTATTAAAATAAAGTATTTGCGAGGCGTTAAAATGTATGTTATTTCGTACTCCAGTAAGCCCTAATTGAACGTTCTTTTCGAGAGCAGTTATCAGTTTTAGTTTGTCGGTGCTGTCGGTCTTGCCACTAAGACAGAAGTAAATAATTGTATCATCTGCATAAATACCTAGTTGAGAACTGATGATATCGGGAGGGGTCATTGATGAAGATCAGAAAAACGTAGGCCCAAGGATAAAGACCAGGCGAACACTTTCATATTCAGTGGCCATTGTTCCTGCTCGCAACTTCAGCTTGATCTTTTCTATACTATAAAAAATTAATTGATTAGATCAATTATATTTTCATACGTAATATTTATTTTACAATATATGTAATATTTATATTGTATATTTATATTATATATTTATATTATATATTATATTTATATTATATATTATATTTATATTATATATTATATTTATATTATATATTATAAATATTTATATTATATATTTATATTATATATTATATTTATATTATATATTTATATTATATTTATATTATATATTATATATATTTATATTATATATTTATATTATATATTTATATTATATATAATATAATATATATATATATATTATAATATATATTATATATATTTATTATATAGTAATATATACATAATATTTATTTTACTATATATGTAATATTTATATTATATATTTATATTATATGTTATATTATATATTATATTTATATTATATATACTTATATATTGTATATATTTATATTATATATTTTTATTATATATATTATAATATATATGTATAATATATATTATACATAATATTTATTATATAGTAATATATAGGTAATATTTATTTTACTATACGTTTTAGTGAGTTATAATGACTAACATTACTTACTTCAGACTATGAGCGAGAATCTTGCGCAGTAGGACAACAGTACGGAAGAGATTTCTTAAATCTGTCTCTTCTTTTTTTCTTTGTTCTTCCGTTCGGGTGTATGTGTCTCTAGAGGGGAGGGAGTTCTATCATAGACAGTTCCAGCACTGAAGATATCTGTACACAGCGCAATTTTGCAAATTATGCAGAAAATAAATGGACACCACCTGCGTTAATATCTTTTTGTTCTCTAATTATCTGTGAACAATTTTTGTCTTTTAGTATAGTGTCTTCTTGGGCTAAGCAGTTAAACAATAAATCACACTGTCGTATTTCAAATCTTTCATAGCAGACTACGAAACTCGACCATTGTCATCGAGTCTGATAGAGAAATAATTACAAAAGGAAAGAAAGAAATTATTTAATGAATGAATGAATGAATGAATGAATGAATGAATGAAATTTTTCAACATCTTCACTAAATGACATTGTGCGCAGTCGCTGTTCACAGTCGTAACTTTGTCTTTTCTTTGATCTTTATCTTTCTTGTACTATAATAAATTAAGTGACTACATCAGTTATGCTTTTCATATGGGTTTTTTTTGGGGGGAGGGGGGTAAATATTTATTCGTTTGCGTCTTTGTCTTTAGATTTGTTCTTAAAAGTCTAAAATGAGTCCTGCGTTATCCTCAAAAGTTTCAAACCTATAAAAATACTCTACATTTGATATGCAGACGACAAAGACGCATTTATTCTAACGTAATTAGCTGAAGTAAAAAAAAGTAACCTGTCTCGCCAGCTTAATTCGTCCTACTTTAAGCTACTTAAAAATCCTACCCTGATGCCTTTTGATTCATAAGTGCAAATTAAATTTACCAACTAAATAATTTTTACTATCTCTCTCTCTCTCTCTCTCTCTCTCTATATATATATATATATATATATATATATATATATATATATATATATATATATATATATATATAGTTAATATTAGTGGTAAATATACACATATGCAAATATATATACATAGGCGCATACACATACATGTATATTTTTTTAATAAAAAATTCCAAGAGGATAGAATCCAGGTAGAACTCAATGTCCAGGACAGAGTAAGAATATAAAAAAAAGGCATAAACACTAATATTCCATGGTCATAATTTATTCCATTGGAATCGTAAATACGATATTAATTTTGTCAAATTTTCTTAATTACACAGCGGCCCTTTCAGTAAATGCCCTTCAGTTTTAGTTTCCCCTCGCCCCATCTCTCTCCCCTACCCCTTCTTCTCTTCTTTTCCTCTCCCTCCCTCTTATTCTGATCTTTAACATTAGATCGTCTATGGTGTGTGTATGTCACCACGAAATGTATCTTTAATGTATTAGACATTCGACAACATTCATATTTCTCTCACTTAAACCTCTTCCACTCACCTCTCTAAACTTCTCTCTGTTAATGTTTAATCTCCCACCTTCTCTCGTCTGTTACCCCTCACTTTAGCTCTAACTTTCGTCCTACACTCTCATACTTACACTCTCTCTAAATTCTATTTTTATTTCCGGAGTTGTTTTTTCTGTTTTCTTTTTGAATTTGTAGGTCTGATGAATTGAATCGTATTTACGATTCCAATGGAATAAATTATGACCATGGAATATTAGTTTTTAGGCCTTTTTTATATATATATATATATATATATATATATATATAATTTTTTATTTTCTTATTGTTCAATATATATATATATATATATATATATATATATATATATATATATATATATATTCGACTCTCCCGTCGAGATTCGACGTATGAGGGTCAAGCAGATCCAGTTTCAAAACCGACAGCCCGACACCGGCACATGAGATTTGATTATAGTGGTGAAGGCCTCGTGCAGGACCATCCACACTTTTGGAAGGGACGAATACAGAAACCTGGTGCACCGAATGCCACAAGGTTCCCAAACGAACCTCCGCAGGTTTTGAATTCAGAGTTGTCCTTCTCCTAGACCAGTTGCCATCCAAGGCTATAGAACCCAGTCTGTCCTGCTATTTTACCCATAACTGGAGGGAGAGTAAGAAGATTCATACCTTTCCCAAGGGTATTAGCACGTAATTATATATTGTGGGGTAATGGATATCGGCTTGGATTGTGGAATCGCAGAGCCGAGTTCGAATCCAGGTTGAACCCATTACCTTTTCACTTACTTAATACCCTTGGGAAAGGTGTGAATACTCTTCTTCTCTCTCCAGCTATAGGTCAAATAGCAGGACAGACTGGGTTCTATAGCCTTAGGTGGCAACTGGTCTAGGAGAAGGACAACTCTGAATTCAAAACCTGAGAGGGGTTGTTTGTGGACCTTGTGGCATGTAGTGCACCAGGTCTCTGTATTCGTCCCTTCAAAAAGTGTGGATGGTCCTGCACGAGGCCTTCACCACTATAATCGAATCTTATGTGTCGGTGTCGGGCTGTCAGTTTCCTTGAAACTGATCTGCTTGACCCTCATACGTCGAACCCCACGGGAGAATCGATATATATATATATATATGCTGTAATTTGTCATTTGTTTAGTAATAATATATTATACGGCAATGTATTATTTGTTTATTTAGCGGCATACCAACTCCTTATGGTTTATTTAATGCCGAAATTTAATTTTCTTGAGAGCATTATTAATTTCTTTTAAAAAATGTATTGTCGGTAATGTTTTTTTATTTATTTTAATTTTATTTCTTTTACTATGATAATATATTGCTGGTATTTTTACAATAAAATTTTTTCTACTTTCATTATGTTTTGACTCCAGTTTGGAGGTCTACTATTTACCTATAGCTGGGACCCTAACAGGTGCTATCACCCCGGGTCAGACTGAACCTGGGAACAGCAGCGGTGATTCTACACTCCTCAAAACCTCCCGATCAGAGGCATTACTGTAGGGCCGTTATATGACAATAATCATATATATATATATATATATATATATATATATATATATGTGTGTGTGTGTGTGTATATATATATATATATATATATTTATATATATATATATTGATTGATTTGATTGATTGATTGCAAGTTATTTAAAGCCAGAAAAATTTTTAGATTGTAAGAATTTTGTGAGAGGTAACAATGGTTTAGTGATACGTCTTACTAATTAATCCATAGATGGAAGGAGAATAGGTGGATTCATACCTCCCGCAGGCTATTTGCGCGTAACTGAATATAACGACCCCAAATGAAATTTGAACTCGGCTCTCCCATTAATAATTCGTAGCCACTATCTCCTACACCACCCGCACGTCTAAGCTCGGTATTCCCAAGCGGTCACCCATCTAGATACTGACCCGACTCGAGTTTTCTTAACTTCGGTGTTCGTACGGGAAATGGTTAGCCTGAACTTCAAATGAAATATACGAATCAACAATGTACACTATAGCGACAACATGTTTATAATAGAAATATTATGTTCCTCGCTCATCTAGTTTTCAATGGGATAAAACTGGCTTGTAATATTCAGCAGCTTAAAAAGAAGGATAGTCTACTTTCATCCTTAATACATTTTTATAGCAAAAATAATGATACATTTTTGTAGTAAAATGACCAACAATACAATTTATAGTAGAATTACCAACAATACATTTTTATAGTAAAATAACCAACAATACATTTTATAATAGAATTACTAACAATACATTTTTATAGTAAAATGACCAACAATAATTTTTATAGTAGAATTACTAACAATACATTTTTATAGTAAAATGACCAACAATAGATTTTTATAGCAAAAGAACAATCAATACATTTTATAGTAAAATTGATGACATGGCATACAATTTTCTATGATTAATCTCATTTCTTGTAGGGAGAAATAAGTTTTCATTTCTCGTTTGAATTTGTTATAATCTTACAAAATCAAATGAAGATTGAAAATAATGGTAAAAAAGTGCAGCTAAGTAATTATAATTTAATTATGAAATAATGTCATTCTCTTGAATTTTCATATTAATAAAATATTAAATAACCCAGTCACGACGAACAGTTGCACTTTCAATGTGGCTTGAACGACTTTTTGAGTCTCAATTTCACTTTCGGCTTCACGTAGAACTCTTATATAAAAACCAGTTGTCTCATTCTATCGCCCCAGGCAATAATTAATTCATTATGTTATGCGTTATCTTTGCAAGATTCAGATTAGACCAAAAGTGGAGTATTGGGTTGGAACTTCTCAATCTTCACTCTCCAACCTTGATAGAGTTTAAAATCTTTCACGCCGTCTTGTGAAAGATTTATTTTCCACACTGCAGTCCCTTTCCCACAAACACAGCATTACAAGCCCGTCAATATTCTATCGCTATTTCCATGGCAAACGTTCAAAGGAGGTCCAATCTTCAGTTCTACCAGCTAGGACTTTTATATTCTGGATACATCATGCTTCATGCTACTTCTTTGAACTCAAATCATGCTCATTATTTCCGTATTCCAAATGCAAGAAAAAAATTCTAATCATACAGGGTTTTGCCAAGAATTGCTATTTTGTGGGACAGACTCCCGTGTGGATGCTTCCCTGAACGCTTTATTCTTAACCTCTTCAAGCCAAGGGTCAATCGTTATCTATCTTCCACATCCACATAACCTTCACTTACTACCACCTCCTTTTCCATTCATATCATACACCCCATTCATCATAATTATCTTAACAATAATCCTCTATTGATTGCCTCTCAAGCTTTATTTGAGTGAAACATTTAAAAAAAAAAGAAAACATTCTGATCTCTCTTAATATTCCCCTCTTTACTCTTCAACATCAACCAGCATAGTTTAGTGAAACATGCAGATGTTAGGCAAACTCTCTCCCACGATGCAGGATTTCTTATTAAGTTGATATTCCAGGATAATTAAGTGCTTCCAATTGTAATTTTTGTTTGTTTTGCATTTTGTTTCTAAACGTTTGAAGTTCTTTAGTGCTTCCTTTACTTTTTAATTAAATATGTAAATAAATAGCTTTCATCTCTCATTCCACCATCTATCTACCTCACTTCTTTTTCCTCCTTTTCTCGTAATATATATATATATATATATATATATATATATATATATATATATATATATATATATATATATATATATATATATATATATAGTTGTTCTTCGTTTATTTGTTATATATATATATATATATATATATATATATATATATACAGGGGTTGGACAAAATAATTGGAACAGTTGCAAAATCCACTCCTATATTTCCGTGACCTATTATATTAAGAACTTTAACTCAAGTTTTGTAATTGTAGGCTATATCCATTGTAAATACGTTTATTTATCTAATTTACTGTCTTTGTCTTAATTATTTTTAGAATTTAGTAAAATTTAAGCTAAGTGCGTGACCTCTTCGAGTTCGAAAAAGAGCAAATTGTTGCAGCTTGCATGGCAGGAGCCTCGATCACTAAGGTTGCTGAACTGTTTGGTTTATCAGGAGCTACCATATCAAGAACACTGATGCAATTCGAGAAACAGGGAAAGACCTCTAGCAACCGTATCAATCCGAGCCGGACTTGCAAATTTACTGACAGGGACTGACGTGCATTGAAACGCAATGTGGCAAAAAATCATCGGACAAATGCGGCCAAAGTGACTGCTGAGTTGAATAACCATCTGAATAATTCAGTTTCTACTAAAACTGTTCACCGTGAGCTCCATAAGGCTGCATATTATGGAAGAGCCGCTGTGAAGAAACATCTTCTCTCCACTCGCAACATTCAAAAGAGGTTGAAATGGTGCAGAGATCACAGTGCCTGGTCTGCAGACAATGGAAGCAAGTCATATTCTCAGACGAGTCCAGTTTTTCTCTTTTCCCAACTTCAGGGTGAGTTTATGTGTGGAGGAAGCCCAAAGAAGCTTACAACTCTGACTGCCTTCTTCCAACAGTGAAGCATGGCGGTGGATCAGTGATAGTTTGGGCCGCCATATCATGGAAATGTCTCAGTCCAATAATTGCCCTGCATGGTAGAATCAAGCGCAAAGATTACCTGAACATTTTGGGAGATCATGTTCATCTAATGGCCAAAACTTTATTCTCTGATGGTGCCTGCTTCTTCCAAGACTATAATGCTCCAATACATGCCGCTCGAGTGGTTAAGAATTGGTATGAAGAGCATGAAAGTTAGCTAGAACACATGGAGTGACCTCCCCAATCTCAAAATATCAATATTATTGAACATTTGTGGTGCATTTTGGAGAAACAAGTTAGGAGCCGCTATCCTCCACCATCCTGTCGTAAAGAGCTAGAGAAGGTTTTAATAATAGAATGACTGAAAATTCCTCTGAATGAAGTCAGGAATCTGTGTGATTCCATTCCTAGACGTATTAAAGCTGTCTGTGAGGCTAAAGGAGGACCAACTCCATATTAAATAAATTTTCTTTGAATTTAATAAGTGTTCCAATTATTTTGTCCAACTCCTGTATATATGTATAATATTTATGCTCTGATAAATTTACATTGAGCACTGTTTGGTAAAAATAAAAATATCAATAAGAACACCGGATTATATATCTTACTGTTCTTTCTTTTTTTTATTACAACCTATATATATATATATATATATATATATATATATATATATATATATATATATATATATATACATTTGCTGTTCTCCTCCTAGTAATGTTTTGTTTTCTCTAACACTCAGTAACCCCTTTGCGTCTAAATGGCGTTATTACCTTTCTTGGGGTGAAATGATTTTGTTATAAAATGCATATCTAATTGATTGTTGTTTTTAGTGTAATTTTAACATAATAAATTTACTGAATAGAGTCGACTAATGACATCAAAGATTGTGTTAGTCAGGAAAATGCATTATTTACAATATTTGAGTTAAATGTAATCCATTTAAGATCCCTACACTGACATTTTAAAATTTGTTCGGATATTTGAACTGATTCTTTGTATTGTTGATGGTGTTACCATAACATTTTGGCCGATTTATTGTCCAAACTTCCTCAGGTGTATAATCTAAAATATATATACTCTAAATATAATATAAAAAGATGCGGCCTTTTTACATCGGAATTCACTTGCTTTTCAAGTCTTATATCGCGTTGAAACACCGGTTCTCGTACCGAAGTTAAGCAACGTTGAGCCTGGTCAGTACCTCGATAGATGACTGCTTGGGAATACTTGCTTAGATGGGCGGGTGGTGTAATGGATAATGGCTAGAAATTTGAAATCGAAAAGCCGAGTTCTAATTCCACTTGGGTTCGTTATATTCACTTGCGCAAATGTAAAAGGAAAAGGTATGATTTAAGGACAAATATCATCTTTCCATTTCACTAAACTGGAGAAAGTCCTCTCGTGACACTGCAGGAACTGGGTGATATTTGTCCTTGAATAACGTGTTCGCGTATCAACACCTCACTTAAAACCGATCATATATCACATCTTGCTGTCTTAGAGATTTAGGCATATAATGGATCAGAGCGTAGTATCTGTGCACTCTGTAAAACGTGTTGGATAGATAGATAGATAGATAGATAGATAGATAGATAGATGCAAGCAAATATTGATAGATAGATAGATAGATAGATAGATAGATAGATAGATAGATAGATAGATAGATAGATAGATAGATCGAGTGTGGACAAAGCAATTAACGAGTCAGTGCGATTTTAAGACTTAACATCGCATTGAGGCGTGAAAGTGCCAGTCACCTTACAGTATCGACTCCTACACTGTCAACATCCTGTATACCTAAAAACACCGATATTGCGCCCTCACCCCTATAAATATAGAAAAATTGAAATAGTACGTGTGTACCTGTGTGTACATCTGTGTGTATATAGTGAAATATAATTATGCAAATATACCTAGATAAGCTACCAAATATTAGGAATACTTCAAGCCTTGGGACTTATTCTTTATTTCCGGCCTGCGCAGAATGCTAAAGATTGTATAGAGATAATCAGAACGTTCCGATATAAATAACAGCTGAAAATAAGATCTGTCTATATTTCTGAGATGAGGTATTGTAACTATTTACAATATTTACATCATTCAAACTGTTGTCCTCATCTTTATTGCTATATTCACAGCGTTTTGGTCGTTGTACGCTCCCGACGTCTTCGGGTAATCTACCTCCGTGGATTAAATAAAGGGTTCGGTTCGAAATTCCAACGTATATCACCTGAAGAAAGCCGTAGCGTACAACGGCCGAAACGTCGTGAATATGACAATAAAGATGAGGGCAATAGTCCGAAGGATCCAAATAGAGAAAATAAATTGAAAAGAATACTAGTTAAAAACTAATAAGGATTAATAATAGTCGAAGATTATCTCTTTTCTACACATTGATCCTTTTTTAACACGACGGATGAACATTCCCA